GGAGCAGCGCGGGCGGCGGAGGCGGCGGCGGCTCCATGGCCGCGTCGGTGGCCCACGTCCCCGCCGCGATGCTGCCCAATGTCATAGACACTGATTTCATCGACGAGGAAGTGCTCATGTCCTTAGTGATAGAAATGGGCTTGGACCGCATCAAGGAGCTGCCTGAACTCTGGCTGGGGCAGAACGAGTTTGATTTTATGACGGACTTCGTGTGCAAACAGCAGCCCAGTAGAGTAAGCTGCTGACTGGGTCGAAAGGAAAAAAAGAAAAAGAAAAAAATGAATCAACCCCCCCCTCCCCACCCCCACCCCCACTTCTTCGGTGTGAATTAAGACAAAAAAAAAAAGAAAACCACAAGAAAAAAAGCAAAAAAAAAAATCCACCCCCCAAAACAAACAAATACAAAAAAAAACAAAAAAAAAGAAAATCATTCCCTTAGACACAGTATCTCACTTTTCACATCCTGAAAGGTTTGAGAACTTGGAAACAAAGTAAACTATAAACTTGTACAAATTGGTTTTGAAAAAAGAAATCGCTGCCACTTTTTTTCCCTCCTGTTTTTCTTTTTTTCTTTCTTTCTTTTTTTTTGTAGCCTTGACATTGACTTCCCTGATGTAGTTGAAATATCTAGTTAACTTGGGTCTCTCTCTCTTTTTCTTTTTGGTTGTTGTTTGTTTTGACTCCTTATTTCTCACTTTCTCCAGTGCTCAACTGTTAGATATTAACCTTGGCAAACTGCTTAATCTTGTGGATTTTGTACATGGTCTCAAATGACTAAGCTGCGTTCAGATTTACGAGGGAAAGGAAAAAAAATTGCATTTAGTGGGTTGCATGAACTTTCGGAAGGCAGATATTACTGCACAAACTCTGCCATCTCGCTTCGTTTTTTTAACTATGCATTTGAGTACAGACTTAACTTTAAAAATAATAATAATAATAATATGCTAAACTGGAAGATGAAACAGATGTGGGTCAAACCGTCTGGATCAGGAAAAGTCATACTGTTCACGTCCACCTTGCTGCCCCCACCCCAGCCCCGTATGTACAGAACAGTAGAGTGTGGAATGTAGTCAGGCAAACATTTCACAGATTTTTATTTTGTTTCTGTCTTCAACATTTTTGACACTGTGCTAATAGTTATATTCAGTACATGAAAAGATACTACTGTGTTGAAAGCTTTTTAGGAAATTTTGACAGTATTTTTGTACAAAACATTTTTTTGAAAAAATACTTGTTAATTTATTCTATTTTAATTTGCCAATGTCAATAAAAAGTTAAGAAATACTTTTTTTTGTTTTCTAGCTGTCATTTGAGGTTGGTTTTTCTCTTGCGTGGCTTTTTGTTTGTTTTGGTGGTTGTTGTTTTGTTTTCTGTCTTTAAGTTGAACACTTGACAGCTGAGAGCACTCCAAAGGCTAAGTTACAGGACACTAAAACAGGTCACCATGAGCTTAAGGAGAAGAGCAGGATTTAGCATAATTGGTATAATGCTTCATTGTTATCATTGTAAAATGCCTCTTGGTGTGGTTTCATCAAAAGCTTGCAGACTTGTCAAAGTGCTTTTTTTTTTTAATTGCCATGGTATTCCAATGTATTCTAGTTACAAAGGTTTGCAATACTAAACATTCTAAATGTCCTTTTCACTTGGGGGGGGGGAGGAGAAATCAAGTGTTTCTGGTTATACCTGATTCAACTACTGAAAGGAGCTAGACTGGAATAATATACCGAGCAATTGATGGGGGTGGTATTAAATATAAATCTACTTTATCTCTTGTGATGAATTTTATTTCTCATCCAAAGTGCTAAGGATAGGCACACGTTTTCTAGCTTCATCTCTGAAATAGCTTCTGTCTAGTTTATAGTTCTAAAAGGAAGAGGGGGCGGAATTCCACCTTGAGGCTGCCTAGTTTGTTCTAGAATATTTAAAATTTCCTCAGCAAGGTTGATTCAAAGGGCAGATTACTGTTCCTTTTTCACACCTGTTCTGTTTCCCAGAATGCTGAGGATTGGTTTTTTTATTTTGGTTTTGTTTTTTTGTTTTTTGCTGTGACATGCATTGCATTCAAAACACATGGGAGAAGATGATTTCAATATTCCTTAGGTGAGCTCTCAAGAGGACCCTGACTACAGTGAGCTGGGTATAAAGTTTTGCCTTGTAGACTCAAGCAAGGAGAAAAAAGTAATATTGTTGAGATCTCACATTATCCCAGGTGGAAGGAGAAGGAAAGCTATTTGGTGTCTCCTTTCGTGTTTACATGGCTTATCTTCTAAGAAGATGTACCGGCTTCTACTTAACCTACTTGGGGAAGTAAAAAAATAAATTACATTGAGGACAATCGTTAAAAGAATGCTGTAGACTCAGATTCTCATCTTAAATGCCATACTTGATAATAAATCAAGAAAGACAGGTATATCAAAGTGTTCTATTAGATCTAGCATAAATCTGATATAAGTGTAATCCATATCATCTACATTCTGTAGGTAGGACTTGTAAAAATCAGGATATGTACTCCACTGGTATGTTTTTACACCTCTGTAGTTGACATTTTCTTATTAAAAAATATGTTCCTTGAGAATACATTGACTCACTCTAAACTCTGCTCACTCTATTAAACATATGCACATACATCTACACACAGGTTTCCCCATGAATAAAGCTGAAGTTTTCTTCAACACATTTCAATATTAAATTTGCAATCAGCAGTAAATCTTTCAGGCTATGCATCTTCACACTAAGTTTTTCTTTCTCTTTATTTTCCTTAAAGGTCAAGTGAAAGAAAAAATATATATACATATGATATTTGCATACATATTAAGAGAACAATGTTAGATCTTTTCACTTGTGCCAGGAGAAAAGAAAGAAAGCTACTGCTATTGCAAAGAATTGCCACTCTTTACCATTTCTTCTGCCAGGGAAAAAGCTACAACACCTGCTCGGTCACTAAATTCCTCCTGCTGCTCCACCACCATACATGTATGTGGAGATTGGGAGCTCAAGAAACTATTATTAGTTCTTGGGCCCATTCCTGCCAGGACAGAGAGCTGGCTACCAGCACAATTTGTCCTTGGTTCTGATACAACACACCTACCCTCAACTTCACTCAAATGATCTCTATGTCAGTAAAACTTTCTTGATCAACAATTGAGCAGATTCTGCGTGATATGTGCAGGTCTCTTACGCAGAGAAAAATAAGTCCTTGTTTAAACAACCTGCTTAATGAAACCTGCACAGTGACCTAGATCACCCGTCTCCTGGAGGACATTTGCCAAACCTTCTGTGGTTTTGCTTCCTATTAAGTTGCTTATAGCATATGGGGAAATTTGACCTCTATACCTTGGCTGTTCATCAAAAAAAAAAAAAAAAGAAAGAAAGGTTCTAATGTGGTACAAGGGAGCCTGTGTTCTTTAAGCTTTGTCCATAAATAGACACTCCATGCTTGATTTTCAAGAAGAAATCAATGAGAAGCTACAGCACAATCCCATAGATACAAGTCAGAAAAATCAGTCTGCATCAATACAGATGTGTACCTCTGCCATATGGCTGATAAAATCCTGGCAGTAGCATCTTTGCTGGAGCTGATAAAGATGTGAGAGCTATGGATGGGTCTTAAAGAATAGTTACCTAATCACCACTGTTTATGGAGTGCTAGGCTAGAACACTAGTTCCAGCAAGCTGACATCTATTGCGAAGTTTACGGTCTCTGTGACTTTTACTACTGTAAATGGCTGGGATGGCTATAAATTGATGTCAACATTAAAGGCCAGATCCTTTAGAGCAAAATATTAATCCACTAATCTATTATGGGTGGCCAGCTTTGCAAAACAAAAACTTTGCAGTCTCAGACCATTGAGGTGTTTTCGCCCCCTGGTGGAATTTATTTAGAAGGTCAAAGCTGTTTCCTCCAGGAGTTTTTTGTTGTGGTTTGGTTTGGTTTGGTTTTATTGTTTGTTTTCTATCATTGCTGAAGCCTTTGATTTTTTTCCCCTTGAGCAAATAGCCTATATTTGTACAATATTTTTTTTATCAACGAAGTCTCCAGAATAAACACCCTTTATGAAAATAAGAGCGTTTCACTTACCAAACACCTTAGCCTATGATTAACTGTGCATCATTGAGATTTGCCTCATATTTGAAAATAGGTACTGGCTAAGCGATTTTCTTTTTGAAAGTGTAATGAGCAGTGGTTTACGTCCTTGCTTTTGCCTGTCAACCAAGTCAAGGAAGCAAACACCTGCACCGACCACCCCGCCCCCCTCCCCCAAAGAGTACTATGGGAGACAGCCAGGAATGCAGAATGCAGTTATCCACACTGGAATGCAATGAAGCCACTGGATGTGTGCGAAACCACCACAGGATTTTGTTTTTTAATGAGAATGAGTGGTGCTACCTAATGGAGTGGATGACATTCACTTTACACATAACGGCGTCTCCAAATAAAGAAATAAATTTAGAATTCAAGGAATTTAGGGCTAATGCCACTGACATCCATTCCCACCCCCCCTCCCACCAATCCCCTACCCCCCCTCACCGGTGGTGGTTTTTTGTGTGTGTGTGTTTTGTTTTTTCCTAGTAGAAAAGATGTAACACACAGCTTTGCTTCTGAAATGGCATTTAGCTTTCCGGGACTGTCTCCTATCTGCAGAATCAGAATTGCCACACAGGTGAAGGGTCCAAGGCAGCAGAAGGAGAACACTGTCATCATGTGTTCTGCTTGTCTCCCCCCACCCCCACCCCCAGAACAGAAGGAACAATGGCTGTGTCAGGATTTTAATTGCAGTGGACTGGCTTAAATTACTTGACCTATTTTTTATGCAGCCAGGAGAGAAATGACTCTTTCTTCCTGGTGACCACGCTTATCACTGAGACTGCAAAAGGAAACAGCGGGACATCTTCGGTCAGCCTGTGCGCTGTGGATACCTAGTTTTGCTTTGCCTTCTTGTACTTAAGCTGCACCTATATTTTTGAAAACTATTAGGGCATGTGAAATAAAGGTATGTTCCCCTCACAGGAAGGTATTAACCTCCTCAGTAATGCTAAAGAATGTATTTCAAAGAGTTTAAGAGCTGTGTGAATTTGTATCCTAGTTTGCTATATAGAAGCACAATAAAGGAAAAGCTAAGACAATAGGAGTGTACTGTGGTGAGACTAAATTCACAGACCTCAATGAAGAAAGATGGTAGCACCAACTTTCTTCCATACTTTCCACAAATAAGTACAGCCTTTACCCCCAAGATGAGTATATCAGAAGCAGGCCCAGAAGAGAGTGGATGCTATTTTGGGAAACCAAAGGCCTGAAGAATGATCACAGGCAGACCAGAGGAG